TTTCCCGGCTCTGTGCTTTGTGTCTGGAGCCTCATGCTATAGTTCCAGCCAGGGATGGGGGCCGGGAATTGGCGTGGTGCATTTCCTAACGCTTGCAGAAATCCCCGCCCAGCCCTTGGCAAAGGCCCCCCCCACGCCGTGCTCCCGTTTGGCCACCTCTGGAGTGACACAGTCACACCTCCCTTGCAAAGTGCACTGATCCTATCCCGGATTTCCAGGTATCCAAATGGGGTTTTTTTAGAAATGGAGTACCCCTTGCTTTTATATAAAGTACTTATACTTTATATAAGTACCCCTTATATAAAGCTATATTATATAGCTTTATATAATATAATGATCCCCAGGGCACCCAAAGTGGCTGTACATGGCTCTTCCTCTGAGACATGTGTCTCATCTAGGATTTATTTGCTAGATTCCGTCTTTTCCTTGGCTGATTCCTGCAGATTTTCTGTCTACAGAGATAGTGGCATCAAATTGGAGGATACGATGGGTCAGCTCCACATACAATTGCCCATATCTATTCTCTCTTGTGTTATGAGAAAAGGCATGGTCTGTGCCCACGGTGGGCATGCTGGTATCTCCTAGGCTCCATGACCAACTCTGCTGCCACATCATACCCGGAGCCCACCGGAAGATTCGCCAGCCCGTGCTGGAGACAAGTAGCTTGTCCATGAGCTACCCGTCCTCTGCAGAGCCGTGGCTGCCAGAGACCCCTGCCCGGGCTGGGGGGGGGTCTGTCCATTCGTCTCCTTTGGCTCTCAGACCTCACCGGCACCGGGAGAGAAGACGTGGATGCCGCGGTCCCCGGGGCCGGCTCGGGCCGGCTGCCTGCGCGCCGTGCTGCTGCCTGGGGAGGTACTTGTCAGCGCTGGAGCTCTCTGCAGCTGCTGCTGGCGTTTTTGGAGGTTGGAGAGTTGCGACTGTTCAGGGGTTTTTTTATTTCAAAGTCAAGTGCACTGAGTCATTGTAAATATCAGCAAAGCTGCAGCCTTTGCTCCTGGGAATAATCCACGCCTAACGAGCGCTTCTCCTGCTTTAAAGGCCTGTCAGTTGTTTGCATTTTGTGGATTTCTATACTGCCTTTACTGACGGTGAAACTTCTCAAAAGGAAGTGCCCTCATCTCAGCGATGAAGCCTACAGCTGGCAGCAGCTCACCCCTTCCTGGGCAGCCTGGTACCAGCGAAGACCTCAGTGCCTCTCTCTTCCTCGCAAGCCTTGTGCATCTGGTGCCATTTTCCCTTTTTCCCAGTCTGGGGAGGTTGAAAGTATCTGTTGGTGTCCAAGAACTTCCCAGCCAGATCTTGCAAGAGATCCTTGCCCATCTTACAGAAGCTTGTAATTCTCTTCATGCTCTGCTTAAATACCCAAACTGAGTGCTCCCCTCCTCGCTCCCCCAGGAGCCATGCTACCAACAAGATTTCCTGATACTGAAGCAGGTTTATTTTTGCCTCTCATCCCTCTACCAGTCCACATTTGGGGTTGTTAATGAAGGTGTCAAAAAAATGTGACCGTGGCACTGTCCTGGGCATTTTTCTTCCCTGTGCTCAGTGCAGCGGCACCTTCCCAGGCTGCCTCCTCCGCGCGGTCCCCGGGAGGGCAGAGCCTCCCCTGGGGCTGCTGCTGGAGAGATGTTCCTCTCCCTTGGCAGCGGAGCTGTAGGTCAGAGCACACCTTGCGCTTGAATGAGATGAGGAGGTACAAGCCTGCCTTAGCAGGGTGTATTCTGGGCTCGGGGACTTTTTGGGCAAAAAAGCCGAACCCTGCAGAAAGCCTGCTGCACGGAGGGGCCATACGCAGACTGAGGTCTCTCTAACTCCATCTTTTCCCAGTCAATGCAACTTTCTTTTTATGGCCTTTCAGCCGGTTTTCATCCCAGGTGATGGTGTTTTTAGTCCACAGCAGTCTCAAAATAAATGTTTTAGTTCAGTTCTTAAGTGCTGTGCTAAAATCCAAACATCTGCCATCCCCAGAGTCCACTGCTTTGTAATTTTGTCTTAAAAAGTAATCTCCATAAACCTCACTGCTGCCTGCTGCTTACAGATCTGCTCTCCTCCCAGCAGCCAGTGGTTCGATAGTGTATAAGTGATCGGAACGATTTTGAACACTTCCTAAGTCTCCCCTCAAGATAGCCTCTGCCCTAAGCACCTTCCAGTCACTACAGACATGCAGAAATGCCTCTTGCCTCCTTCCCCAGGTTACACAACTTTGCAGTGAAATTGAGGTGGGACTGGCATGATCCCATGCTTTGCTGGGGACACAGCTGGGATGACACACCTGGGGGTGGGTTGACAGAGGAGGGATTAATTCTTCTCATCTAATGCATTTGCAGGTTGAGCCTGTAATGCATTTCTGTTCTGGGACACTTAGTGCTGGCATCGTTCCCCCCTCACCACAGCACTGCACAGCGCCAAGTACATTTACTCTGTTACCTGGGTAGTGACTTGGTGCGGTGGGGCATAAAAATCCTCTCTGAGCACCTGTGCATGTTGCTTGTGTACTGGGTGCTCTGGCTGCAGCTGTTAGCTCACGGCATCCTTTCGGGATGCTCCTGCATTCTGGCACCAAGTGAAGCAGCCACTACGGCCGCTACAGCTGCTGACTGGTGCCGATGAGATGCATGTTGTGGAGAAAGCAGCCCTGGAAAGGTGAATCCACCTTTCTTCAGACCCTGAGTCTTCAGCCCATTATGCATCCCAGCACCCATGGCTGCACTCCAGCCTGTGGAGAGGGAGAAGGGTCTGTGTAACTCTGGTGAACGCTGAGTGGACATTGCTCCAGTGAGGGCTAGGAGGCAATGGCCGAGCCCTGCCAACCCCAGCCAGAGCTGCTGTAATTCCTGTGCACCTCCGTCCCCCCAGCAAACCTCCAACACGCTCCAGGGCTCGCTGTGTTGAGCAGCTGATGCACACTGCAGATTTGGGAGGAGGAGGTTCAGAAAGTTTCTCTTGCAAAACCTATTTATCAGGCAAATGGCCATCCCAGGGGTATGCCAGTGCATGCTGCAGCAGATGTCCTGGTGTCCCTGCAAGGCTGGGACGAGCCTTGGGAGATGTGCAAGGGCTGCCACTGCTCCTTGTGTGAGGGCAGAGGTGCCAGCTCCCAGACACTTCCTCGGGAGGAGCCGGTTGGGATTACCTCCAGCCACAGGGTATTTGCACTCCAGGACAGACTGCTTCACCTTACGTCCTGGAGCCAGGCGACAGTACTGAGGCATTTCAGAGCCTTCCTCCCACACTTGCAGACAGATGATTCACGTCATGATTGGCAGCACTATAGCTGTGTTTTATATAAGCAAGCACATGGAGAGCAGGAATCAGCCCTCTCTATGGGAAACACTCCCTGGTGTTCCCAGGGCAGAAGGGATTTCTGTGAGAGCAGAAATTCCCCTGCAGGTACCAGCCATGACGTTTCTTCAGTGGGGGATTCGGCTGTGGATTTTGCTGGAAAAGTGAGCAAGGAAGGTGCAGGTGGTACAGGGTTGCTGGGAGCAGGGCTGGCTCTGGTGCCATAGATCCTCAGCCCGTGCACCCCACAGTCGCTAGTCCTTGCTCAGAAACACCATAAGGGCTTAGCCTGGAAGGTTGTTATTGCAGCAGGATGTCCACGAGCAATTCTGGTTCTCAGACCAGAAGAGGCTCTGTACAGTCCCCCTTGCAGACCAGCCATTGAACGGAGAGTGTTCCATGACCCGGGCAAAGTGATGTGGCTATTCCCACTGGTGGGAGCACGTGGGAATGTGCTCTCCCGCCCTCTCCCGGGTGTTTAGTGCAGCAACTTCAGGTGTGTCTCAGAGGGCATTTGCTCTTGGGACTCTTCTCCCTGGTGTCTGCGTAGTGTCCTCCTATGGCTAAGGTTCCCTTCATTTCAGCCGTTAGATTTGCGTCTTCCATTTTGCCATCCCGTAAAAGCAATCTTCCCAGTAGCAATGGGGCTGGTCCCAGGGCTGACTGGCTTATCTGCATTTTGAAAACAATGTGTCCCTAAGACAGGGGACAGGTACAGATGGGATGAGCCGCGTGAGTGGATGATGTCCCAAGATCTTCCTGGTCATGCAGCCCGGGCACTGCTGTCGCAGGCATCGTGTCAGAGGGTCGTCGTCCACAGGGCCTTTGTGAGATCAGCACAGATCAGCTGTGAAGCCTTTGGCATTCTGCTCCCGGTGTTTCACCAGCAATAGTTAAGAAAGTGCAAAACTTCCCGTGGTTTCTGCAGTGCGGGATGCTCAGCGTGTGCCCACCTCACACCCTGTTTTGGAGACTGAAAGCATCTGCCAGACTCAGGCACGGCCAGAGGACCAGGGCAGGGCAGGGTGCAAGCAGGGACTCCCTCAGAGCAGAGGAGGCTTCTTGGTGCAGGGCAGCAGTGAGATGGGAGGATGTGGTTTGGGAGTAGCAGAGCTACTCCCAGCTGTCTGATCCTTGTTTTCTTCTTTTCCTTCCAGTTACTACATTGACGGCCGAGTGGCCAAAGTGACGGACTTCCTGAAAACGCGCCTGTTAGACACGCTCTCTGACCAGATCAGGAAAATCCAGAAAGTGCGTGAGTGCAAAGGGTCTGCAAGAGGCGACGGGGCACCGTCCCC